AATTGCGCAAACCTTAATCTCACTTAAATCATCACACTTTGTTCTCATGTAGCAACTAATTTACACTTATTGAGATTATTTACTTATTTACTGAATAAAGAGTCTCATTTACTAGTTCTGTTTGAGGCCGTGAATTGATAGGAACCGTACTGCATTTTTCCTTCAAGGTATTAATTTAAAAAGCAAGAAGGTCAAGACTTAATCAAAGTAATGCAAATATTTCTTGTCTCAATTGCTTGACATAAAACAAAACAGTTTTAAAGTCTTTATGTCTCTCAGCAATTCATGCAAATTGCACTGACTAAATAATACAGAGAGATGGATTAATTAAAGTGCCTTCTCAAAGTAGCATAAATAATGTGAATGATGATTAGATATTGATGAATTTGTTTCAGATTCTATGTCTTTTATATGGAAGATATCTTTGGACAATAGGGCACCCCATATGTCTCAATCTAGGCTACATAGGCTGATAACTATTTATTTCCTTTGTTGTTGGCTTTTGTTTTCTTTCTTTTTTTTTTTTAACGTAGTCTCGCTCTGTCGCTCAGGCTGGAGTGCAGGGGCAGCATCTCGGCTCAGTGCAATGTCTGTCTCCCGAGTTCAAGTGATTCTCCTGCCTCAGCCTCCCAAGTAGCTGGGATTACAGATGCACACCACTATGCCAGGCTAATTTTGTATTTTTAGTAGAGACAGGGTTTTGCCATATTGGCCAGGCTGGTCTTGAACTCCTGACCTCAGGTGATCCACCAGCCTTGGCCTCCCAAAGTGTTGGGATTACAGACATAAGCCACTGTGCCTGGCTACTGATAACTATTTCTTACTCTGGAGAGTGGGGAAGAATGTAAGGGTAAGGGAAACTCATTTATTAATTATTATATGTATTGGATGCAGCAATTCACATTTGTTAAATTATTTTCTCTCCAGAGTCACCCTATAAGGTAGATATTAGAAAGGAAAAAGCTAAGACACAGAAAGATTTAGTGAAACGCCCAAAGTCATACAATCAGATTTCCAAGCCAAGACCTTCCTCTTTTCTCTACCTCCGTCACCACTATCCAGGTAGCCTAACTGCTAACATGTACACTTATAGAAGATGGGGCCCCAGGTAGAGCTAATCTGCTCTTTTGTGGATTCTTTTGATTCTCCCAAGGGCAAACCTCCAGCTATCAGGGGAGACAGAAGGATGGTTCATGGTGGTTAGGAATATGGGGCTCAAATTCATTCTCTGCTGGGTCTAGGTGTCCCAAGAGTAAAGTAGAGAAAATGAAAAAGACCTGTGATTTTCTTAATTTCAGAGGTGACAAATAAGCAGATTACGATGAGGTGACATGAGAGACACAGTCTCTGGAGACCAACTAACGAGAAATATATTTTACTTAAGTTAGGATGCTTATTTGAGAGTCAACTCTGGAGACTCCACAACTGAAATTAACTGCAATTGATATGACAGCTGCACTGCGTGATACACTCTGTATACTGAAATGTATTTTACTGTGATATAAAAAATTGCGATATTATCTTTAAAGAAAAGTAAAGGAACAAAAGACTCAATCTCTGCTGAATGCAGAGTAACATCACAAGGAAGGGGTAAACAGTTTCAGTTGTCCTACTTCTTTTACAGGTGTTCTACAGAATCTGTTCCAGCTATATCTCCTGCTTATCCTAGGAGAATTAGCGTGAATGCTTCCTCTAAGAAGAAAGATTTCTCTTTTTTTTTTTTTTCTGCTTTCTTTTCAGTGAATTTAAGCATTGGACAGGAGCAAGCAAAGGGATCAAGTAGAAATCAGTTATTAAAGGTAAGACAAGAGATATAAAGGTTTCTGTCTATTTAACTTACTATCCTGAAGAAAAATTCACAATCCTGTTAATTTCCTCAATCGCTTATCAACACAAAGTTCCAAGAGCATTGAGTCGCTAAGAAAAGAATGTTAAATAAATGTTGTATGTGTTATTTTATTGCAAAATATATAGCCATTAGGAAAAATATAAGCAGCAATAAATAATATTATTTTAAAGCTCTTTTAAATAAAAGAAATATATCATGCTACTTTAGTATTATTTTTAGAAACTCTTAGAAATTGAGAGCCCAGATCTCTGGCTAAGGAATCTCTGGGCTAAAGAATTGACTGAAAAATCTCAGCAGAGCCTGGGGAAATCCTGCACTGAAGCAGGAAAAATATTTATCAGAATAGAGGGGGAGACAGAAGCGTGTTATTTATACCATCAGATGGAAAACAAATAATATTTTCCTATCTTGCTGATTAATATATGTGAATCCTAAGAAAGACAATATTCATCAACTGTAATTATATTTTCTCTTTAGGATATACAACATTTTTATTTAACCAAATGTATTTTAAAGTATTAATAAATCTCTGAGAATCACAATATCAAACTCTTTGTCTATCAGTGCTCATATCTGTTATTGACAGAGCTTTTCTAAACGACCTCAAATGTTAAGAGAATGAAAGGTACATTGGCTAGACATACATTTAGACGTTGTTAGGCTAACTTTGAGAGCCCCGAGAGACTTTGGGTAAGTTAACCTTTCATACCTTACATTTCCTATCTACAAAAGGGGGATGATAAATGCCTTTTACATAGAATTTAAATAAACAATCAAAACAGTTAATAAACTGCTTGTAGAGCATAAGAAATCATCAACAGATTTTCACACATGTCAATACTTACATTTTACTCATCATTACTTACGTCGTATGCTTAGCACATCTAAGACATTTTATTCTGTGTAATATTTCTGTTAATGCTCTCAGAGAAACTTTCTGTTTGAGAAGGACAGAAGAAAGATCTGTTCCTTTTTTTTGTTTGTTTTTCATTTCTTCTAAAGATGCTGTTCTTTGAAGTTCAAACAGCAAGTTTACTTCAAGAAAGAGGACCTAGGCGGTGTATCTATCCCAGTGAAATACAAATGGAGGCAATGTGGTGCTGAAGAACAGCAAATAATTTAGCATCAAGAGACCTATGTTCTAGCTCAGGATTTACCACTGATTGGCTCAGAAACCCCCACACTTTGCTGGTCTCATCTAACAAAAGACGATATTATGTATACTCTTGGGATATTACCTGATAATTTATTTCACTGATTTGTGGTAAGGCTTATATAAGATAGTGGGTGCAATGACACTTTTTGAAATTGTTATGGAATTCTTTCAAAATGTCAATTTTAATTATTGATTAGGGTATTGAGCCTCTATCTCAATGACAATTAGGTGGAGCCCAGCATAAATAGGTGCTTCTGTTTATGGCACTGTCTGTGATAATAGAACCAGTTCCTTCCCGCTCTTTCTCTCACTGTTTTTAGAAACTTCTTTATCTTCAATGCTAAGCAAGGGTACTGGGTCACTTTGACACCATGTTTTTCATTTAGGCAGTATCAAATAACCTCTTTCTGTGAGTAGTAAAAGATTTACCTCTGTCTTACCTTCTGAGATAGATTTTAACAATTAGCTTGGTAAAGTTTACACTTTTGTTCAATAATCTGAGATCATGGAAGGGGTGGGGATTTGAGTTAAAGTGGAGAATAATTCCACTGGTGGTGTTTAAACTTTGATTTGGAAGATCTAGGCATCTATTCTGAATTTTCTTTTTTATTTGTTTTACTTGTCATGTCCTATATTTATCTTCATTACACCTTGCAAAGGGTGACTCTTATCTCCATTTTGATTACTTGGTATTAAATTATTCCCCTGATTCAGTGTGGTGGCTGAAAAATTACATGTGCTACTTCTGATGTTTTGTGGTTCTCTTGAGAACTTGTGACTCTGAGTATTAGAGATTTTCACTGCCTTGGCTACTTCTGTCATTTTTGTCAGGGATGCCTACTCATTCTTATAATCGGATTCTCTAAATATTGGAGTGAATTATGGAAAATTACTATTTAACTGACCCTCTTCTGTTCTCTGTAGATGTTTATCCTGGGAAATCAGAGGGGGGTTCGAACTGTACTGGCTGTGTGGGAATATTCTCTATTTGTTTCCTTCTTTGGCCAGACATTTTTAAAGTTCTTCCTGTACCCCAAGAGTTGTTTTTTTCCTTCCTTCCTCCCTTCTTTCCTTCCTTCCTTCCTTTCCCTCCTTCCCTTTCTTTCTCTTTCTTTTCTTTCTTTCTCTTTCTTTGCTTCTTTCTTTCTCTCCCTCTTTCTCTTTCTTTCTCTCCCTCTTTCTCTCTCTTTCTTTCTCTCTCTCTTTCTTTCTTTCTTTTTCTCTCTCTCTCTTTCTCTTTTTTTTTTTTGACACGTTCTCACTCTATTGCACAGGCTGGAGTGGTGTAGTGGCACAAACGCAGCTCACTGCAGTCTCGAACTCCCGGGGTCAAGCAATCCTCCCACCTCAGCCTCCTGAGTAGCTGAGACCACAAGCATGAGCCACCACCCACAGCTATTTAAAAAAATTTTTTTTTTGTAGAGATGAGATTTTGCCACATTGCTCAGGCTGGTCTTGAAACTTTTGAGCTCAAGTGATCTGCCTTGCTTTTGTCTCTCAAAGTGATGAGATTACAGGTGTGAACCACCATGCCCGGCCCAACTATTTTTCTTGTCGGGCACTATTGATTAATTTTGTTAACTTTCAAGATTTTTCTTCATTGTATTAGTACTGAGGAGGAATTGTCAGTGGCCTGAATTCATTCTATTATCCTTCTCCAGTAGTTCTGTCTGGAGGGTATGTCAATATATAAATTAATATATTTATCACAAGTAATTATGGCAATAACATCTTAAGAATAAGTTATTTTAATTATTCAATAAATAGTTAAATCTAGGAATGAGTGTAGTTAATAGATACTAAACCACTCGCTTCAGTCATTTGTTAGTAGGCAGCACACCTAGTACTAAGATACAAGTCTTTTGATTTGACATCAAATCCAACATACCTTTTACTATGCTTTTCACTTTTTGCTCTTCTGTTGGAATTTATGTTTCACCTAAAATATATTATAGCTCCATCATGTATTCATCTGACTAAATTCCACTTTGGATCTTCTTTCTTATTGCAGCTCAAAGGATGAGACTTATGAAAGAGGTTCGAGGCAGAAATCAAACAGAAGTGACAGAATTTCTCCTCTTAGGACTTTCCGACAATCCAGATCTACAAGGGGTCCTCTTTGCATTATTTCTGTTAATCTATATGGCAACCATGGTGGGCAATTTGGGGATGATTGTATTGATTAAGATTGATCTCTGTCTCCACACTCCCATGTACTTCTTTCTCAGTAGCCTCTCTTTTGTGGATGCCTCTTACTCTTCTTCCGTCACTCCCAAGATGCTGGTGAACCTCATGGCTGAGAATAAGGCCATTTCTTCTCATGAATGTGCTGCCCAGTTCTACTTCTTTGGCTCCTTCCTGGGGACTGAGTGCTTCCTGTTGGCGATGATGGCATATGACCGCTACGCAGCCATTTGGAATCCCCTTCTCTACCCAGTACTCATGTCTGGGAGAATTTGCTTTTGGCTAATAGCTACCTCCTTCCTAGCAGGTTTTGCAAATGCAGCCATACACACAGGGATGACTTTTAGATTGTCCTTTTGTGGCTCTAATAGGATCAACCATTTCTACTGTGATACCCCACCGCTGCTCAAACTCTCTTGCTCTGATACCCATGTCAATGGCATTGTGATCATGGCTTTCTCAAGTTTTAATGTCATCTGCTGTGTTATGATTGTCCTCATTTCCTACCTGTGTATCTTCATTGCCATCTTGAAGATGCCTTCGTTAGAGGGCAGGCACAAAGCCTTCTCCACCTGTGCCTCTCACCTCATGGCTGTCACCATATTCTTTGGAACAATCCTCTTCATGTACTTGCGCCCTACATCTAGCTACTCAATGGAGCAGGACAAGGTTGTCTCTGTCTTTTATACAGTAATAATCCCTATGCTAAATCCCCTCATCTATAGTTTAAAAAATAAGGATGTAAAAAACGCCCTAAAGAAGATCTTACAGAAACACATCTTGTAAAGCCATGTCACACATCATTTGTTATGAAGAAGAAAACACATTTTCATGTTAATTGTATTCTCTGATTGTTTAAGTTGTTTCTCTGTGTTAAAGTAGATAATTTAAGATGAAGTATACTTTTAAATACCCTAGTATAATACACACACACACACACACACACACACAGAGACTCCATCTCAAAAATAAATAAATAAATAAATAAAATATTCATTAGAGACCACAAAGAACTATTTCCTCCTAACCACCTGAAAAGCCCTCTCATGTCATATCCCAATAACTTCCACTTTCAATTGTTAACTAAGGTTTCTCTCAAACACATCCGGAACTGTGTCAGAACTTGCATTCTCCTTCATATTTATTTTTATTCTGGTTCATCTGCTATCATATTTATCCCTTAAATTTTCTCTTAAATCACCGCTCTAAGGACATTTGTACTTTATCATTATTCATCACTGTCTTATGTCTGCATTTCACTCATTGCCCAGTTGAGATTCCACGGTCTATCACATAATGATGCGCTATCAGTTATGTTCAATTCCATGGTTCCACCCTCCCTCCACTTTGCTCATCTGTCTAAATACCCATTTAATTAAATTTAGTTGTTTCTTCTGTGTGTCCCCCATTTAAACTGCTTAATACAATTAGAGAGAATTCATCATCACTTTACTCTGTGTTACTGAACTTTCCTCATACTTCGTCCTGTGGGCGGAGGGCGGGGCGGGGGGGAAGATATGATCATCCTCACCTTACCACCTCTAAATCTTTATAAATGCTCTCTTTCTCCCCTCATGTCATTATGGATAATGTATCTCTGCTTCTACCTAAGACCAGCTCTTTCATGTCTTTGGAGTTTTCCACGGATTTTACTTCTGAAATTATACCTCTACTCTCCCCAAGCATTAGTATCTCAAACTCTATCATAATACCCTCATTTATATACAAATATTTTCTAGTGCCACCTTTTTCACAGTGTCCTTGACAGTAAGTCCCATCCAGTCACCAACTTATTAATTTATCCCTACTCCCTTCTATAATTAATCTTTCCAAAAGAACTACCTCTACTCATTGCCCTGACTTCCTCCTATCTTATTAACACTATATCATGGTCCAGTTGTATTTCTGTAACATATATCCATTGAGCCTAATCTTATCGAGGACACATGACAACTCAATGCTACTTTATCCAGAGATCACTTCTCTGTCTCACTTTTACTTGGTATCTCAGGATTTGTGGCAATTAATTCCTCCACCTGCCTTGATATACCCCTATATAGGTTTCTATATCACCTCACTCTTCTGTTTTTCCTTCTTTCACTCCTACCTCTTCCCAGTGAGCATTTGTCTTTTTTCCTCCATCTCATGCTGACCTTTATATCTTGGAGCAAAAGTCATAGTTTTGACGTTTGGTTCTCAGCCTGCACTTAATTCTTGGGTGACCTAAGAACTGTGCCATGATTCCAAAACCTGTATCTCTAGCCTTGATCTCTCACCCAAGTTCTGAATTCATGTATTTAATTAACAACCTGGCATGTAGGGACTTTGGATACATTAAAGGATTAAGAAATTAGTTTTCTCTTCTTGGTTATGATAGTCAGACATATGTAAAACAATCCCACCTTTTGTACTACTAGACGAGACTATACCTGCAAATCATACTTATGTCTTTGGACTTAAACTTATCTCAATATTAAGTCACAGATTGTATTTTCTATTAGGTTGCTGCAAAAGTAGTTGCAGTTTTTTGCAATACTTAAAAAAATAGCAAAACCCGTAATATTTTTGTACCAACTGACTATTTCTTCAGTTTGTGCTGGAGCAAGAAAACTGGCAACTTTTATACCTTTACTCATAATCCATTAAATATTTGTTGAATAACTTGCATGTAACTTATACTGGAGATATAACAGGTAAGAAAACCAAGTTTCTTATCTCAATAAACTTATATTTAAGTGAGAGAGACTGTATTGTCTCTGTCAAATGTATTATGCATGTGTGAATGTGTGTGTGCATTTCACATAAACATAAATGGCGTTTTGAAGAAAAACAAAGCGGGCAATAAAATGGAGTGAGAAAACAGCTCTCTGTTGAAGAACATCTGAGCAATGCCTGGATAGGGATGATACCATATGAATGTCTGTGGAACAGCTTTCTGTGTACACATGCATTACACACAAAGGCTCCAAGGCAAGATCCTTTTTGGTTTGTCAAAAGAATTGCAAAGAGACAAATATACAAATATATGTGAACCAAAGAGAGAAAACTAAAGGAGGTAAAGAACAGCAATCAGGAAGATTCTGAGAAAGGAAGGCAGATCACATAAGGCATAGCAGCTCATAAAGAGGTTTTTTGTTTTAGTTTTTCAAATTACTTTGTTTTTTTTTTTTTTTTTGAGGCGGAGTCTCGCTCTGTCGCCCAGGCTGGAGTGCAGTGGCGCGATCTCGGCTCACTGCAAGCTCCGCCTCCCGGGTTCCCGCCATTCTCCTGCCTCAGCCTCCCAAGTAGCTGGGACTACAGGCGCTGCCACCACCCCCAGCTAATTTTTTTGTATTTTTAGTAGAGACGGGGTTTCATTGTGTTAGCCAGGATGGTCTCGATCTCCTGACCTCGTGATCCGCCCGTCTCGGCCTCCCAAAGTGCTGGGATTACAGGCTTGAGCCACCGCGCCCGGCCTCAAATTACTTTGTAATAGTTGTCTCCTACCAATGCCACATGGTAAGATGCAAGAGGGAATGGGCAAGATTAATTTTCTTGGCTATTTTAGTAGTACCAAGGGTGGTGTCTGCTTCATGAAACAAACTTATTAATATTTTTTGAGTGAATAAAGAAGTTTATGAAATGAAAGCCATATTCTAGTAGAAATGAATAAGAATTGTATTTTAAGTGGAATTCTGAGGGTTGGAGGCAGGATCTGATCAATCCTATAGATTTAATTCAATGCTGTGTTCAGTGGAGCCTCTGGTTCATGAAATACTTTTTGTTCTTCTCTAAATTCCTAAGATACTCTTTCAGGTATAAATGATGCACTGGGGAAAAATTAGTTCAATTACCTCAGTGAAAAATGAATTCACTTTTTAATTATGGATTGGCATATTTCAGACTTTAGACTTTTTAGTGTTTAACAGAGACTAATCTCCAGAGAATGATCACAGCCTTAATAAGACTTGATCTTGGGCCTTGGATTCAAAAGCAGTGCATTTTATCCTTTGTTGAATTATCCTTTGATTCCCTTATGTCACTTGCACAGTTTTTCAAAGCCACAAATCTGACTGTTGGAAACAGAAAACCTGTATTCCTACAAAACAAAAGTAAATTAATAAGAACCACTATTTTCAGTGAATATTACTTAAGGACAGAAGGTAAGATCATGTAATTTATCATAACTTGTTCCAATGTAGAAAGTTTCAAGAGGGCTTAAAAAAATTTAAGAAATTTGGATTAAACATCTTAAATTAAATATGTCTGAAATACAAAATTTAATATTGTCAACTAAACTGTGAACATAAATTGTTTTAAAATAGGGAGATTTAGAATCACTAGAAACAATTTCATAGAATATTCAACATATATATACCCATACATACAGGAATGTATGTATACATGTATATATACACAAATGTGTGTGATGTAAAACTATGAAAATTTAATTAATGTTTTATATAAAGGGAGCCAAAACCCAAAGACATATTTAATTCTCTAGGAAAAACCTTAAATTGAATACTTTTATGCCATTAAATACATAAATTGATAAACTGATAACAATTTTCAAGCTTTTTCTTGAATTTTAGTTGCGCTTGCTCTGTGACATCAAACAAGTTAATACTCCTTAGTTCAAATTTATGTTTAATACAAGGATAATTCTATCTTGATTAAGTTTGTTGCAATCCATATGTCCATGAGAGATGATATATCCAATGCTCTTTTGTAATAAATGGACTGTAAGCCACTCCACATATATTTTTCTAAATATGAATCTAAATTATGTACACATGGTGGGAAAAGTTACAAAAGCTAAACAAGTTTCTTCCCTCATATATATTTATATGTATGTGTGTGTTTATACACATATATATAAAAATATGTACACACACACATATAACATACCCATACACTCAGAGGACCATATATATCAGAGAAAATATAGCTTTTACATCACCTTATACATTTATTACATATATAATGTGATTGATCATATGTATGTACATATATATTTATGCAAAAATAAGAGACTTAAAGAATGGCTGCGACTTTTTAAAGAGGTTATAGAATAGAATTTTAGCTATTTTAGAGATACGAGAATCAGTTTAAAAGACTACTGTAACAATGTAAGTAAAAGACGGCTTGGTATTTAGTGGCAATGAAAGTGGCAGAGATAGCTGGCTTAGGATACAAATCTTTTAAAGGAAAATCCAATGGGATAATCTGATCGACTGGCTATCCAACATGTAAGAAAGAGAAAATATCATTTAGCCAATATTTTTGTCTATTTATTTAATTTTATCTGTGCAAATGAAAGCATGGAGCTGTCATTGACTTGAGATGGGGAGTGCTATGTTTGGAGCAAATAAGAGGAGGATATGAGGAATTCAGTTTTGGTCATGTTAAGTTGCCGTTTCATAGGCATATAGAGATGTAAGCAGTTAAATTATAAGCCTGGAGTTTGGAAAAGAGGACAGGACTAGAGATGTGGCTCAGAAGGTACAAGTACATAGACAATATTTAAAACCATCAGACAATAAGAGCACCTGGGTATAGTGGAAATAGAGAAGGAGGAGGCTCTGAGACACTCCCACACAAAGCGGGAGAAGAGGAGGAACAAGGAACGGAGACAGAAGGAGCAAGCCATGTAGCAGGAAGAAAAAACAGAGAGCTTGATGTTCTGGAAGAGTAGAGAAAGAGGCGTTTTAGAGTGGTAGGTAATTAATTATGTTAATGTTATTGACATATCTAGAAAAATGAGGCCTGAGAATTCACCATTAGATTTAGCAATCAAGACCAATGATGTCTTGAACAAAAGCGATTTCCAGGGAGTGATGGAGTGAAAGGCCTGAATAGCATGGGCTAACATGGCAATGAGGTTGTCATTTTTGCCTTTGCCAGTTTTAATGAATTGAGCTGTATCCTACTGATTCTTGTTTCCTGTCTGTCTCTATATCC